AATAAATGAATTAATAAACACTGAATAAATAAATATATAAACACTAAATAAATAAGTACACTAAATAAATAAATAAACACAAAATAAAACATGCACTAAATAAATAAATAAATAAATAAATACACTAAATAAATAAATAAACACTAAATAAAACATGCAGCAAATAAATTAATAAATAAACACACTAAATAAATAAATATATAAACACTAAATAAATAACTTAATACATTAACACTGCACTAAGTAAAAAAATAAATGCAATAAATAAATAAATGCTAAATAATATTTATTTAAAATTCTAAATAAACTAAAAACTAATTTATTGGGCGGCCAGGATGGTAAGGACTAATGGAGCCAGGACAGCGGGGTTACATCCCTACTCTTTACGATAAGTGCCATGGAATTTATTTACTGTATAAATGAATACACTAAATAAATAAACTAAATAAATGAATTAATAAATACCCTAAATAAATAAATGAATAAATAAATACACTAAATTAATAAATACATTTATTATTATCAAAGAAATAAATACAGTAAACAATAACTGAATAATACCTGAACAAATAAATATAATTAAACAAAATTAATCAGTGTGCTTTATCATGTGTTTCAGGATCAAGATGGTAAACTTAAGAAAGCCAACATTCAGGACAACAGAGACGGGACCTACAGAGTGTCTTATGTACCGGATAAAGTGGGTCGATACACTATTGTGATCAAATATGGCGGAGACGAGATCCCGACATCTCCATATCGAGTCAGAGCCACGACTTCAGGAGATGCCAGCAAGTGTACAGTCAGCGGTGAGACACACTTACTGTCTGCTTATTAAACATGAACTCGTGTGTGTCTTGCAGCTGTGATGTGATGCAGCAGTTGCAGTTGTGATGCATGCAGCTTTTTACACACAAAATAAACAGGAGGTCTAATAATTCAGGAGGGCTGATAATTCGGTCTTTAACTGTATTGTATGTTTGTGTCCTGAAGGACCAGGCATCGGGCCCACCATCGGTATCGGGCAGGAGGTGGGCTTCATGGTGAACACTAAAGGTGCAGGAAAGGGGAATCTCTGCTGTGTGGTGCTCACTCCGGACGGCAGCGAGGTGGAGGCAGACGTCATCCAGAATGAGGACGGCACATTCGACATCTTCTACACCGCACACAAACCCGGGACATACGTCATCTACGTGCGCTTCGGTGGAGAAAACATTCCCAAGAGCCCCTTCAAAGTCATGGTGAGGGAAAAACTAGTTCACAAAACAAATAGTTAACCCAAACTGTTGTGCAAGGGGGGAATTTGGACCTTCAATTTTTTTGTTGTACAATTCAGATTGAAACATAAAATTGAAACAAAAAATAGCCTACAATAACATAAAGACAAATAAAACATACAATACATAATGCCAAATATATGTATATATATATATATATATATATGTATGTATATATATATGTACGTGTGTGTGTGTGTGTGTGTGTGTGTGTGTGTGTGTGTGTGTGTGTATATGTATGTATGTATGTATGTATATAAATATATATGTATGTGTGTGTGTGTGTGTATATAAAGTCAGAATTATTGTGTGTATGTATACATATATATATATATATATATATATATATATATATACACATACACACACACACACACAGTTGAAGTCAGCAATATTAGCCCCCTTTGCATTTTTTTTGTTCTTTTTTAAATATTTCCCAAATGATGTTTAACAGAGGAAGGAAATTTTCACAGTATGTCTGATAATATTTTTTTCTTCTGGAGAAAGTTTTATTTGTTTTATTTCGGCTAGAACAAAAGCAGTTTTTAATTTTTTAAACACCATTTTAGGGACAATATTATTAGCCCCTTTAATCTATATTTTTTCGATAGTCTACAGAACAAACCATCATTATACTATAAGTTGCCTAATTAACCTAGTTAAGCCTTTAAATGTCTCTTTAAGCTGTATAGAAGTGTCTTAAAAATATCAAGTCAAATATTATTTACTGTCATCATGAAAAAGATAAAAGAAATCAGCTATTAGAGATGAGTTATTTAAACTATTATGTCTAGAAATGTGCTGAAAAAAATCGTCTCTCCGTTAAACAGAAATTGGGGGAAAAAAATAAACAAGCGGTCTAATAATTCAAGGGGGCTAATAATTCTGACTTCAACTGTATGCATGTATATATGTATATATATTAGAGGTGTAACGGTTCACAAAAATCAAGATTCGGTTCGATAGGATACAGTGGTGTCACTGTTCGGTATGTTTTCGATACAGCAAAAGAAGAAAAAAGCCAGAGGATTTCTCTGATTTAAATTTTTTTATGTATTAAAACTAACATCATAAAAGTATGATCCTGTTTTTTTTCTTTTACTTAAAACAGTGATATAATCATAATTCCTTGGTTTCTGCTTAGCAGCAAACAAAACAAATCCTTCTTTATACTCAAAACCAAAAAGCTGCTTATAAAAAAATTATATAATATTGTAGAAATTAAACAAATAAAAAGAAAAGAACAGTTTAGTTTTTATATGGAACTCGGTTTCAAACAACTAAGTGTTTTTTTTATTGTCAGAAAGATGAGTGTCCACCTTTTCCTCAGACAGCACAGATCTGCTTGATTTGATCACCTGCCATTTCAGTGGATCTGAAAGCAGGAATGATCTGACTGCAATGGGCTTTTGAAGGAATAATGTAAAGGGGCTCTATTACATTTAACATTTTCTTAAAACCCGACATTTCCACTATTGATTAAGATCTCTCAGATGTTTTTTATTTCCACCACTCTCTTGTTAGTGGTGATGGTGCACGACGTATTTGAAGAGCGGTGTGGGCGTGTGCGTGCGATCTACCTGAGCGGCGGGGGTGGGTTGTACCCAATGAACCTGAAGAGCTGGGAGGGATGCGGTGGAGAGGGGGGGTGCGACGTATTTAAGGACCAGGGTGGAGACGCGCAATTTCCAGAAGATTATCATTCGTTTGTGGGCATCCCCGTAGTCTCCTGAAGCTTCCGGGAGACTTGAGATGTCTGGGATTACATTAACGTTACTCGCCAATTTGCGAGCTAGTGTAGCACGTGGCATGCCTGACTGGAGTAGTGTTTGGAGGTTAGCTCTTTTGTGTCGGGGGTCCAGGGTTGCTGGGCCAACGGGGGCAGAGCCAGCACGAGCAGCCAGGCTGACACAGAAGCTAACAAGATTGCAAATGAGTGCATGCTTTAATAAAGTGATATTCTAAGTTCAAAAGCGATGCTCTACTGTTTAACATGACAGCGGGGAAGGCAGCATGTTGTCTGCCACGTCATTTGGGATGCCATGTTGAGTGTTGTTGCACTGTAAACATTATATTTGGTACTTATTCCCTTTATCTTTGTGTGTGTGTGTGTGTGTGTGTGTGTGTGTGTGTGTGTGTGTGTGTGTGTGTGTGTGTGTGTATTAGGCTTGGGCGGTGTCCAAATTTTGAGACCGTCAAACCGCCTCCATATTTTACCCCGGTATCCGGTATTACCGGCGTAATAAAAAAAATTATGACGTAAGGCTCAGACAGCGTCACCAAACTGTTGGCTTGAGGCTAAACCATTCAGAAACTGAATACCTTCTATGCGACCTTAGGCAGAGAGAGAGAGAGAGAGAGAGAGAGAGAGAGAGAGAGAGAGAGAGAGAGAGAGAGAGAGAGAGAGAGAGAGAGAGAGAGAGAGAGAGAGAGAGAGAGAGACAGAGACAGAGACAGAGACAGACAGACAGACAGACAGACAGACAGACAGACAGACAGACAGACTTTCTCTGTCTTACACAAACACACACACACACATCTCTCCCGCGATTTATTCAGAAATTTACTCCCACACCGTAAGAAATCTGGCCGGCTCCCGCGGGAATGCAGAGAGCTGTATTTGGGCCATAAAAATTATACCCGATAGGTCCCGAGTCCGACACGTACATTTTGATTGACAGCTTTATTAAGCCCGAGCCCTTACAGCTCTAATGCATTTTTTCAAGAATGAGTCATTTATATGTTTTAACAGCATTTATTCGTAACAAACGTAGACTATATCCCACTTGAAAGTTGGAACAAAGAAATAAAATAAGTCCTCTGTAACATCGTAACATCTCAGCACTCTATAGGTCTACATGCACTTAGCCTTTAAATTGGCCAACACACCAATGAAAAGAAATCTTGCTTAACAAATCAAATAAACTCTAAATGATGACGGGTATTTTGGCAGTAACTAAATTGAAGCTGAATATTAAAAGAATAATGCCACCATTAGTCTGTATACTCTGTCTACATTATGATTATATGGTTTAATTAATATTTATTTATAATTTAAAACCCTTTACTCACCAAGATTAGGCTACGTGTGTTTGTGGAGGAACATTATTAAATCCACAGGCTTTAGCGCAGTCTTGCGCTCATGTGCGTCCAGCAGCAGCTGAACACCGTTTCATTGCTACTGCTACAGGCCGAGATGCAGAGTTCTGATCTGGCTGATTTTGCAAGTTTTAGGTAGGATTGTTTATTCATCTTATACCAGTCAGGAACATCCATTTAATTTTCCATGACCGTAGTTTCAGGGTAGCGAGTGGCCTCGTCATTACCTGTCAGCTTGCTGTTTAAGGCTCTACCGTAATACGCAGTGTATGAGCGACCGCTAAATACCTGCGGCTGGAATAACCGCTCTTTCTGACTGGCTTGACCGCCGTCAAAATTCTCTTTTTTTACTACTTCGTCATAATTTGCTTCACCTTTGCAGGGATTTGGATTTTTTCGGGTCTCGCCGGGTTCGGGCAAAGATCTTCAGCTCTAATGCAGACCTCTCGTTCATATTAACCACGTCTCCCTTCTGTTCAGTCGAAACTATGGCGCTCCTCCAAGCTCTTTAACCTGACGCTGCAACGTGCACTCGTCTCACCGAACGTCTCACTGAACGTCTCACTGACGTCTTAAAAAATAATTTTTTTTGCTATTAAATCCATGCAATTTAAGACGCAGACGTGACGTTGACGTGACGTTGACGTGACGTTGACGTCACGTAGACGTCACGTAAATCACGTGTGGCAGTGAAGTGTCAAGCCAGACGTTACGCGTGATTCACGTGTAGCAGTGAAGTTATTTATTTATTTTTTTGCTATCACGTATCATAACACGCTGCTCACACGGCTCAGTGCAGTGTGTGAGGCAGTGCACAATTTCTTGCCCTTCATACATTCCTCTCAATGGACGTGACATCAACGTCTGACTTGTTACATGACGTCTGCGTCTACCTTTTTTTTTAATATATATATTTTTTCAGCAGTTTTTAGTGCGTCTGTCTGCTTTTTGCCGGCTAACTTATACAATATACAATAATTATGTGCAAATTAAATATAAATATGCTAATATATAATGATATTTGTTTTCAAGATAGCATTAAAACGTATAAAAAATGTATAACAAAAATAACAAATGTCTCCGGAGATAAAGTTTAGGTTGTTTATTAATATATTCATGTCGTTAAGTTTTGTAAAATCCTTTTTTAATTTGTTTTACATTTGAGTCTTATTGTGTTTTAATTTTTTACATGTTCAATGTAGCCTACCGCATTTCAGTGATGACCAACTCATCGATCACTATCGCCTGTTAGATCTGATACTTTTGCTGTAAAATATTAGAAAAATAGAAAATTACATTAACCATTATTGTGTTGTTTTTAAAGCACCTTTCTTTTTTATTTTACGTTTAAAACATATTATTAGGATTCTTTGACAAATAAAAAAAACATAACCTACTTTATTTTTTATTTGTTTCCTTTCTTTTTTGAAAGAAAATGTATATTTTTGTTCAGCAATAATGTTACATTGATAGTATTTATATTTTGAATAATAATTTGCCAGGATTCAATCAATCAATCCTGTAAAAATATCATAGAAAAACATTTAACAGCACAACTTTGACAATACACTGAAGGATCATGCGACATAATTAGTGTCAAAAAATTTTACTTTGCATCACATAAATAAATAAGTATATTAAAATAGAAAAGCATTATTTTAAATTGTAATATTATTTCCTAATATTACCCAAACCCCGAACCATTCATAATAATAACCAAAACAGTGATGTTTAATCCTAAAACGTTGAATAGCCTAATGTTATTTGAAATAATTAAAAATAATAAAAATTTGCTTTAAATGTTACATCTAAACTAAAAACTAAAATCGCCAGTAGGTGGCAGAATGTCACTATTACAGTTTTTCCCAATTGTTTACACACAATTACTTGTACTTCAGAAACAATGACTACAACATGTAACTGATGCACCAACCCCCTGAACCAATGCAGCTTAACTACAAGCACAATTTCTGCTTTACACTCAAATTGCGCGTTTAAAACACTTTTTTCAAAACACTACACACAATTCTCTGCATTTTGCATGCAGAAAATCTCTTGTTTTAACAAGGAACACACTGTCATTCACAATTGTAAAGTCAGTTGTCCTACTTTGCATACTAACTCATCACATGAGTAAACACCTGTCACACAGAATTGCAATTTAGGAATCAGAGCTCATCTGGTTCATAACTGGTACACTGTCCACCCATGTTTTTTAGTTGTTTATCTCCTTCCATATTCTCCATTCCTTAATCATATTGACGATTTTTTTTCCTGCTTGGGGATGGAAAGTGTATGCCGAAATCCACACTTTATTTTTCGTTTTTTACTAACAGTATTCTGTAAATCCTTCTGTTAATGGCAAATGAAGACCACATTATGTGCACCTTTGTGTTGGTTGGGATGAACACTCTGTAAACTGAAAATACTGTAAAATATATTTGGTATTTGTTTGTTTTGTATAAAAACAATATTCTGAAGTATTTTACAATGCATTTCTGTAGGCCTATGTACTGTCTGTAGTAACTGTAACACTAAACGAAAAAGGCTGACAGTAAGTCATTATGATGAATGGAGAAGAAGTGGTCATTGTGTTTTACATTCAGCACATCAGTGTTCAACTGATCTTATAAATGTTGATGTGATGGTTTGTGTGCGTCATTTGAAAACAAAATACCATGTTGAGAAGAAATCACATTGTGTTAATTGTGTTTCATTTTGCAGGAGAATTAAAGGGTTTCACCCTAGAGTTCTGACAATATGAGGCATGCTTTCAGAAAATGTGTGTAAACAATTGGGAAAACTGTAAATTGTGTGGATTTCAGTCATACACACTTTCTATCCCCAAGCAGAAAAAAAATCCTCAATATGATTAAGGAATGGAGAATATGGAAGGAGATAAACAACTAAAAAACATGTGTGGGCAGTGAACCAGTTATAAACCAGATGAGCTCTGATTCCTAAATTGCAATTCTGTGTGACAGGTGTTTACTCATGTGATGAGTTAGTATGCAAAGTAGGAAAACTGACTTTACAATTCTGAATGACAGTGTGTTCCTTGTAAAAACAAGAGCTTTTCTGCATGAAAATTGAGCAAAATGCAGAGAATTGTGTGTTGTGTTTTGAAAAAAGTGTGTTTTTAACCTGCAATTTGAGAGTAAAGCAGGAATTGTGCTTGTAGTTTAGCAGAATTGGTTCAGGGGGTTGGTACATCAGTCACATGTTGTAGTCATTGTGTCTGAAATACAAGTAATTGTGTGTAAAAAAACTGTATGTGAGTCATTGTTCATTTACAGTTTTTTTTTTTTTGATTGCTCAAGCACAATTTTGAAATGAAGGCTCATTTTGTCAAAACACTACACACAATTTCCACACACACACACAAACAGCAGAACACATCAGAACTTTTGCAAAATGAAACACTTCATCCAAAACTTTACAACACTGTAACAAAACACAATTTTAACACCGTACAGAACACACACGCCTCATTCAAGATGAATCTGTTTGCTTCATTTACACACTGCTGATCTCAATCTTAAACACTCGTATAATTTCTAACTGACTAATACTGATATAATCTGGGTTTGATTTGTTTCAGAGGTATTGCTACAAAGTACATGAACATACTGTATTCACCAAACAGTGATAGACTGAAAGCTAAATATTGCCCTATCCTAATAAAAACCATACAACAAATGTAAAGTGTTTTATTCAGCTTTCTGGTGATGTGTACATTTCAATATATAAAAAAAATCCCATGCCCTGTCTCCTGTTTACCAATCTTCCTCCCCTCCATGCTTCCTCTTCCATACTGCAACATTGCCTTCAATATTTATTGAAGATTATTTATTTATAGCTCCTGTTTAACATATTTATTGAAGACTTATATTTAACATATGTATTGTAGATAAATATAATAGTTTATACCTAATACCCAGTTACAGTTTTTCATTATTGCTAACACACTAAAATTAAACTTTTCCTACAATTAGCAAAACCGTACACTAATAGAGCAAAACACAAGGCTAGATCTGCACAACTGTAAGCACATTGTCAGCTTCACACTTTTTACAAAACATTACACACAGTCATTTGCAAATCACTAAACACACTAAGATGCTTTTGACAAAGAAATTTTTTCATAATGGAATTTCCTTGCAATTTCAAAGCAAAGGCCTTCAAATGAGCACACACATGAACTATAGGTCAAACACAGCAGTCAGGTGTGCGCACACACTGCTGCAAACTGTAGACACACACACCAATCAGCTGTAACCACAATAAAAGAAGCAATATAGGAATAACCATATATGGCATACCAAAATGTTTATCATTTGTATAAATATTACCGTTTGGAATAAATAGCTATAAATAAGAAAGTTAAAAAGCACTTAATTGCAAATGAAACATAACTGTGGTTAAGTGAAAACACTGATAGAGAATGAATAGGTATAATAAAGCAGAAATAAGAGCAATGTGCTGCAAACCCTTGAAGCAGACGCAGACGTGACGCAGACGTCACGTTAAAGCAGCGGAACAGTAATGTGGCAGACGCAGACGACACGTTCGGCAGACGCAGACGTCACGTTCGGCAGACGCAGACGTCACGTTCGGCAGGCGCAGACGTCACGTTCAGTGAGACGAGTGCACGTTGCAGCGTCAAGTTATTGACCCATTCCGTACGCCATAGAAACTGCCAAACTGCAGGACACTTTGAAGCGCGACTCGTCACGTCACGTCTCCCTGTCCCTCTCTCCCTCTCCCCCTCCCTCTTCCTCTATCTCTCTCCTCCACACTGTCCCGTGATGACAACCACACACACGTTTTTTAGGCATTAAATAAAGGATATTTAATACTTTATGACGGTATAACGGTATTGAAACTGACACCGTTGCTATTTTTAGATCCCGCGGTATACCATAATACCGTAATATCGCCCAAGCCTAGTGTGTATTCATGAAATATCTTTGATTAAATTCAGTGAAACTAACATGTTTATATGATTCAGTCTCCTGTTAACATCATAACACATGGAGTTTTGTTACTGCCACATGAACAACAACCAATTGCATCATTGCAGCTTCCACAGTGTGTGTGTTTGAATGCATAAGTTCCTCATTTATCTGAAGATTCACATCCACACAAACTGTATGATTCTCAGGCTACGGATGAAGCTCCCATGATGCAACAGCAGTCAGTCCAGCAGCAGCAGTCGGCGGCTCCAGCCATGGGTTTCCAGCCCTGGGTACAAAAACACAGATTCATCTGGGCTCCGCTCTTTGCTGTCCACTCTCTCTGACTCTTCTCTTTCTTTACTGTCTGACCACTCACGGTGCTTTATTTTAACCCTTGTTTGCTGCTGGGGATGTTTTCATCAATTCTGGGCTGATTTTTAAGGCCTATTTTGGCCACAACTTGTGTTTAGCAGAAGAAAAAAAAACTCAAAAGTTTAGAATTACAAGAGGGTGAATAAATAATGAGTACAAAAGTTTTCTTGTAGGCTGAACTGTCCCTTTAAGCTCTCTCTGTTTTTCCACTTGTGATCTCGGCTGATGACTGGAGCAGAGGGAAACTCTACGCTTCAGTGTTTAGACTTCCAGAGTTTTGTTTGGAGCTGAGAGCGGGCTTAAATTGCTCATTATTTCGACATTAACCTCCTTCTGCACTTTAGTTCTGTTCGTAATGTTTAAGAGACGTCGTTTACAAAACCACAAAGCAGATCTGTCAGACTCTTAACACTCGTGGGTTTAAAAGTACACTGCATTTTTTGGGGGGAAATTGACATTAATCTTTTTTAAATGCACTTTTATTAAGTAAAGTTGCGTTGAAATATTGAAGCGGGCTAATAAAACTAATGTTACAATTGTAGTCGTTTCAAATTAATAGATTCCAGTAACAAAATGCATTGCGGTATACCCACAAAAAATAGTAAGCTTTTTTTTAAGCAGTCTGTTTATTGAATAATTTCGGAAGGATGGTGTAAAGAGATTTACAACTCTTTTAACATATTTACAAAGAAATAATATTTCCTGGTATTACTGTGATTTTAATAGTGAGCAGAATATTCTTATTAAAAAAAATTACAAATTACCAAAATTTAAGAAATCTGAAAACAATGTTTGGAAATTGACTGAAATGAAGCATATTTGAGAGCATAAATGTATAAATATATTATATATAATTATAATAATTATTGTTTAGATTCGAAACCCAGAACTGTTACCTAGCTCTCTAGTATTTTATATTTATTTTTATATTTAATTTAAATTGTATAATTTTATGATTTAATTGTTTATTTTTATTAATTTATTTTATTTTCTATTTTCCTTTTTTATTTTTCACTTTATAATTATTATAAATTTCTAAACTCGACTCTAATTAATTTATCTTCCTTTTTTTCATAACTTTTAACCTTCCTTAAAATTGTTGACAAATTATTAAAAATATTTATTAATTTAAAAATTTATTAATAATTATTAATAATATTATTATTATTATTGGTATTATTTATCAATAATGTATTTATCATTTTATTCTAAATCTTATCATTATCATTATCATTATTATTATTATTATTATTATTTTAATTGTTATTAGTTATTAATATTTAATTATTATTTTTTACATTTTGTTTTTCATTATATTTACATCATAAATTTCTTAACGTTTCCAAGTTAAAATGTATTACTATTTTATTGTTATTATTCATTAATATTTTATTATTATTATTAATTAATATTTTATTGTTCATTAATATTTTATTGTTATTATTAATATAAATTTTTAATCATATTTATTTTTGTTGTTATTGTTATTGATCTTAGTCATATTTTATTATTATAATGATAATTATTATTATTTATTCATTTTTATTGTTAATATTTATTAATAATTTATTGATATTTTTATTAATTATTCATATTTTATTTGTATTATTTATTAATAATTATTACTTTTATTGTTATTAATTAACATTTTATTTTTATTATTTATTGATATTTTATTTTATTTTTTTTATTATCATTTATTATTATAATTTATTTATATTTTATTATTATAATTATTTCCATTTTGTTTTTATTACATTTTCATAATTATTTTTTCAACGTCCCCAAAAATTATAACTTATTAATATTTTATTGTTATTTTTCATTAATATTTTATTAATCTTATTTATTAATGTTTTATTATTATTTATTAATTTTATTGTTGTAATTGTTATATTTTATTATGTATTAATATTTTATTATTATTATTATTTTTATTTTTTGTTCCTATTTATTGTTATTTTATTATTATATTTTATTATTTCATTTTGTTTTTCATTATATTTTTATAATTAATTTATTAATGTCCCCAAAGGTTATTGCTTATTTATTTTTTGATTGTTATTTGTCATTAATGTTTTATTAATGTTGTTTATTAATGTATTGTTGTTGTTTTTATTATTAATATTTTATTGTTATTATTTATAGATTTTTTTCATTTTGTTTTTCATTATATTTTCATAATTCATTTCTTAAAAAGTTCTGTTTTGTTTGCTAGTTTATTTAATGTCTTTAATTTTCAGAGAAATGTATCTCCAACTTCTCCAAACATGCTGTGTAGATTGATTGATTGATTGATTGATTGATTGATTGATTGATTGATTGATTTGTTCATTCATTCATTCATTCAAAATTCAGTCAGTTCAGTTCCGTACAGTTCCATTCAGTTCCATTAAGTTTAATTCAGTTCCATTCAGTTTCATTCCTATTCTAAATCCCATTCCATTCCAAAAATGTCATCTAAGTGTGTGTAAGTGTGGAGTTTGTAAACGGAGCACACAGTTGTAAATCTCTCTTAATCAGCATGAGCTCATCGTCCTCATCTTCTGCAGGTGAAACATTATAAGCCCTGGCTGTCGTTTGTCAGCAATACATCATTATCATGTTGTGTTCTGTCCGCATGTGGATGAAGTCTGAACATGTCTCCGTCTCTCCGCATCTCTCATTTCTCCTCCTCAGGTGTTTCTGGGGATTTCTCTGCTCCTTCAGGTTTAACACGCATTCGTCTTTCGCTCAGCTCGTCTGCTTGCAGCATGGATCACACAGACTCGCTGAACACACACTCACACACACAGATTATAACAAACAGACTCACACACGTATATCTCTGTCTCTCAGGTCACAGATGGCTCGTATGTTCCTGCAAACAGTGTGAACGGGACGGGCTACAGACCCTTCGATATGGTCATCCCCTTCACCTTTAGTAAAGGAGAAATCACAGGTGAGACGTTTGACAAGAGAAGCAAGGTCAAATTCAACACACACGATCACTTATGGAGACCCATTAAGGAATTTAAGATTCTGAAATCATAGCAAATGCCACATAATTGATAATTCAATTGTTTTATTTTAAAATCCCAGATTTCCTGCATGTTTTTGAGCCTCCTTAAAGAGACAGTTCACCCAAAAATGCTAATTTACTCACTATTTACTGTAATTTACAAACATTTGATGAAGCTGCTGTGAAAAGCGCTGTACATTAAAACTTGAATTAAACTGAGTTCCTTCTGTTGAACATAAAAGAAGATCATTTGAAGAATGCTGAAAACTGGTAACCATTCTTCCATTGTTGGAAAAACAAATACTGTGGGAGTCAGTGGTTACAGGTTTACAACATGTTTCAAAATATCTTCTTTTGTGTTTAACAGAAGAAATTCAGTTGGTTTTTGGAGGATGAGCAAACCATGACAGAATTTTCATTTTTGGGTGAACTGTTCCTTTAAGGCTGGTGTCAATTTTTACGCCAAGCCCGATAATTCATGGTGTGTGAAAAGCAAGTATAAATATATATGACAAATACATTCATTCATTCATTTACTGGTCGGCTTAGTCCCTTTATTAATCCGGGGTCGCCACAGCGGAATGAACCACCAACTTATCCAGCAAGTTTTTAAACAGTGGATGCCCTTTCAGCCGCAACCCATCTCTGGGAAACATTCACATACACACACACACACACACACACACACACACACCCATACACCACGGACAATTTAGCCTACCACATGTGTTTGGACTGTTGGGGAAACCGGAGCACCCGGAGGAAACCCACGCGAACGCAGGGAGAACAGGCAAACTCCATACAGAAACACCAACTGACCCAGCCGAGGATCGAACCAGCGACCTTCTTGCTGTGAGGCGACAGCACTACCTACTGCGCCACTGCCTCGCCCTATGACAAATACATTTAAATATAAAGATAAAGATGCAGAAAAATCATTGTGATCACTTCCAGAACAATTTTAATAGACAATAAAACTCTTGACAGGCAGGCAGAATCCACTGAAATGTTCATTTGACTTTAAAGTTGAAATGCAAAGAGAGTCAAAGCTGTAATATTTCAGATTATTTAATATTTCAGCAATTCAGAAAGTCTGAGATGTAGTGCAGAAGGATACTAAATTGTCTGATTTAAAATTTTTTTTGATTTGGCTGATGTTTGAAATCATCATCTGAATGTGTGACATTCGTCCTCAGGTGAGGTTCACATGCCGTCAGGAAAAAGCGCTCAGCCGGAGATCATCGATAATAAAGACGGGACGGTGACGGTCAAATACTCGCCAACAGAGGCTGGGCTTCACGAAATGCACATTAAATACAACGGCACGCACATCCCAGGTCAGTCACACCATAATATATTATTAAACCTGTTTGTTTTTGTATTTTCCCATTATATTTTCATTGGTAAATATGTGGTATTATGTTATATTATATTATATTATATTATATTATATTATATTATATTTATTATTTAATTTTGTATTGTTATATTTTATATTATATTATTTTTATCATATTATATTATTTTTATTATATTATATTATATTGTATTTTTTTATATTATATTAAATTATATTGTATGATATTATTTTTATTATGTTATATTCTATTATTTTTATTATATTATATTATATTATATTATTTTTTATTATATGTTATATTATATTATATTATGTTATAATGGACATATGTGATTCATGTCTTCATATTATATTAATAATATATATAATTTTTTATTGTGTATACTCTACTGCATATATACAATATATTAGACATAATTAAAATACTCAATTTGGATATATTGAAATTTATATAGTTATTCTTGATTAATGGACACGTGATTATATTATTTTAATACTATTCTATGTTTTATTACTTTGTAATGTATAATTTACCTTACACACTATCATGTATTATATTTCTGTTTATTATTAAAACATTAAAACAGAAACAATTACATGTGTAGTGAGAGAATTTCTTTAAATAAAATTACATACTTTTCTGTGTAAATGCACTAATTTCAAACTTATACAATATGTAACTATTAAATATTTGTAAATCAAATCATATATAATATATCATCTTTTTAAAATAAAATAAATCATTTAAATATATATATAATATATATATAATATTAAAATTATATATATAATATTAAAATTCTATATATATATATCATTCTATTTTTTATTATTTTATTTATTATATTTTGTGTAAACAATACTGTATAAATAGTGTATTTTAATTATGATATTTTTTATATTTATATATATTACTAAATCATTAAAATAGCCGAAATAACATATAGAGAGTTTCTTTAGATAAAATAGCATATTTTTCTGTGTAAAAACACACTTATTACAGATTTATACAATATGTATAAATTAAATATGTATATTAAATCATATAAAATTCATAATCTTATTTAAAATATATAAATCATTTAAATTTGAGATATATTTTACATGTTAATAATACAAATTATTATTATTTATTATTATTATTTATTTATTTATTTATTTATTTTAAATAACGACAGCATATGCTAAGCCAGGGGTGTCCAAACTCGGTCCTGGAGTGGCAGTCTCCTGCTTATTTTAGTTCCAACACCAATTAAACGCACCTGAACCAGCTAATCAAGCTCTTTCTAGGTATACTAGAAACTGCCATTGAGGTTTGTTAAAGGAAGTTGGAGCCTAACTACGCCGGACATCGGCCCTCCTGGGCCAAGTTTGGACACCCCTGTGCTAAGCTTTTACTGTATGAAAAAAAAGCTTGAACATTCTACTAAACATCTTATTTTTGGTGAAGTCTGTAATCTGAGTGTTCATGCGTGTGATGATCGTGCTGTCCGGATCATCTGTTTTGCTGAAGGTTTTTCAGGTGTGTGTGATTTATTTCTGCTGCTGAAAGGTGTGACTTCAGCTGTCAGGAATCTGTTGTTTGAGATGCTGCATATTGTCATGTAGGTGCTTGTTTTATGGCTGGAGTTTTTTGGGGGTTTGGTGTAGTGCCATCAGAAACCTCAGTAAATCTCACATCAGAGCCCATCTCTCTGTTTCTCCACATAGGGCAGGGAGATTGAGATGGGTTTGAATTATTCTGGCAAAAGCATCACAAACTTTTGAGACAAGTTTTTGTTTGATATTAATTTATTTACTTTCTTGTTTGTTTTCTCAAATGTACTAAATTAGCAAAGATACATTGTAGAATTTTTTATAATAAAAACTTTTGAATGAGCTGTCTACATAACCAGGATTATTTTAGTATTTTGTTTGTGCATAATAATTTCCTAAAAACACGCAAATTAGCCGTCTAGCTTTATAATAAAATTTTAATGTTTTTTGTTTGTTTGCATGATTTCTAAAATTCTTTAAATGTGCTCTCCAGCTCATTATGTTTTAATTAAATTCATTCTTATTGTTTTTTATTTACTTTGATATTTGAATAATAATTTCAGAAAACTTCTTATTTTGTATTTTATTTAATTAATTAATTTGTCCATAATTATTTCCAAAGAACATGCAAAACACACCGTCTAGCTTTATAATGAAATTGTCATTTTTTTGTTTGTTTGTTTGCTTTTTTGCATAATTTCTAAAATTCTCCATGTGCTGTCTAGCTCACTGTGTTTTAATAATTTAATTATTAAGCCAGTTTATTATTAAAGCATGTTTTAACCCATTTAATATTTTCTTGTTTTTAGTTGCTTTATTTGATCTGTATAATTATTTCTAAAAAACTTTTTTTTTATTATTTGCATAAATATTTCCTAAACCATGTAAATGAGTCATCTAGCTTTTTAATAAAATTATTATTTTTTTTTTAATTTTTGGTTTTATTTATTTATTTTATTTCATAATTTCTCAATTTCTACAAATGTTTTGTTTTATTTATTTTTTGTTTTGTATTTACTTTCATATTTGCATAATTACTATTATTTTTATTAATAATTTTTTAATATGTTATTGTTTTATTTTATTTTGTTTTATTTTGCAAATAAGCAGTCTAACTTTTTAATAATAAATGTATTTGTTGATTTTATTTGTTTATTTATTATTTATTTAATGCATTATTTCTAAAATTCTTTGAATGTACTGTCTAACTCACCATGTTTTAATTTAATTTAGCTTAATTTGCTATATATTTGGCTTTATTTTCTTTTCTTTTATTTCTTAAATTTACAATTATTTTTAAATACGCAAGAGATAATACACTTCAGGACAGAAACACCTCTAATTAATTAATCATTTTCCAAACACTCCTGCTCGGCATCATCATAGTGTTTTTCTTCTCTTTTCTAAATTGTGTTTGTTACTGTATATTGTTTGCTTGTCTTTCAGAGAGTCCTCTGCAGTTCTTTGTCAACAATGCTAACAGTCCTAATGTAACGGCGTACGGCCCAGGTCTGGTCTATGGCACGGCCAATAAAACCGCCATGTTCACCATCTACACTGAAGATGCGTCTGAAGGTACAAACCCCTCCTGCCAATGCTAGACGTATGCCGAAAATTCAATAATTCAAGATATCTTGATCATGAACAGTATTTATATTTTGGGTATTTCAGAATAACGTGAGTTATTTTAAGAGTTATTTTTACTTTATTTTAATGTATCGCAGTGGTGTTCAGAACAATATCAAATGCTCGGAGATTTAATTGGTTAACTAACGAATTCAAACATGAATATTTTCACATGTTAAGCTGGACTACTACATGCTGAAATATGGATTTGGAAAATATTAATCTTTTGCAGCTCAGGCCAATACAGAAATAAATATTGATCACGTCCCCATTTTTCTTAGAAAACATGCTGTTATGACATTGAAATTTTCCCCAGATGTTGTTAACAACCACAGAAGTCGATATATATGCAAAGAAAGCTAATCCGGTTAGTTTACAAATGAAGTTATGCGTAATGAAATGAAATTACTCAAGGAAAAAGTATTGAACACATGAAAAAAGGCAAGTGCAGAAAGGCAGTGAAGGCCCAGACAGCAGCTGAAATCTCTCAGTAGTTCTTTAGCAACCCTTAGTAAATGAATATCAGCTGGTTCAGTCCAATATCTACATTAGCAAATGATGAAGATGAAACTAGGGAAACTCTCAAATGCTTTTAGAGAAAGAAAATCAAGCTGTAGAATGGCCCAGCCAATCACCTGAGCCGAATCCAATAGAGAATACAAAAAATTTGATAGACGAGACCCACAGAACCATCAAGATTTTCACACTCGGTTGAAGTCTGTGACTTTATTCTCCATATGAGAGGCGTCTTTAAGGTGCCAGAACCAGAAAAGCCTTTATAAACACATTTCAATAGTTCAGCACTTTCTCCTTGTGTCATTCCATTGTTATTAAACATAACTTTGATACCATCATAAGCCCAGCGCATGCTAATAAAGCATGTTTTATGAGTGCGTCCCGCTGTAAGCATGTTGTTGGGGTGTTTTTGGATCAGGTGGTCTGGATCTGGCCATTGAAGGGCCGTCGAAGGCTGAGATCAGCTGTGTGGACAATAAAGACGGCACCTGTACGGTTTCATACCTGCCCACATTGCCTGGAGATTATAATATACTTGTACGATACAACGACAAGCACATCGCTGGAAGCCCCTTCACCGCCAGGATTACAGGTGTCAAAACACAATACCTTACGGTTTACCTTTTATATTTATGTTTAATAATTTAGCAGACGTGGGGATAAAAGAAGCACTTCAAATCATCAGAGAGTAGCTGTATTTAAATGCTATGGCAAGTCTAAGTTACTAAGTTTTCAAGTCTAAGTCACTACGTCTACAAGTCACTAAGTCTACAAGTCTAAGAGTATACAGTATGTCTACAAGTCGAAGTTACTAAGTCGAAGTCACTATGTCTACAAGTCTAAGTTACTAGGTCTGAGTCATCAAGTCCACAAGTCTAAGTCACTAAGTCTACATGTCACTAAGTCAACAAGTCTAAGAGTATGTCTACAAGTCAAAGTTACTAAGTCTAAGTTACTAAGTTTACAAGTCACTAAGTCTACAAGTCAAAGTTGCTAAGTCTAAGTGTATACCTCTACAAGTCTAAGACACCAAGTCAACAAGTCACTAATTCTACAAAATCTTAGTCTGCAAAGTCTAAAAGTCAAAGTCTACACGTCACAAAATCTACAATTCTACGTCACTAAGTCTACATGTCTAAGAGTTTGTCTACAAGTCAAAGTTACTAAGTCTAAGTCTACAAGTCTAAGTTACTAAGTTTACAAGTTACTAAGTCTACAAGTCAAAGTTACTAAGTCACTAAGTCTACGAGTCTACGTTACTAAGGTTACAAGTTACTAAGTCTACAGGTCAAAGTTACTAAGTCTAAGTCACTAAGTTTACGAGTCTAAGTTACTAAGTCTAAGTCACTAAGTCTACAAGTCTAAGTTACTAAGTTTACAAGTCACTAAGTCTACAGGTCAAAGTTACTAAGTCTAAGTCACTAAGTCTAAAAGTCTAAGTTACTAAGTCTAAGTCACTAAGTCTACAAGTCTAAGTTACTAAGTTTACAAGTTACTAAGTCTACAAGTCAAAGTTACTAAGTCACTAAGTCTACGAGTCTACGTTACTAAGGTTACAAGTTACTAAGTCTACAGGTCAAAGTTACTAAGTCTAAGTCTAAGTAACTTAGACTTGTAGACTTAGTGACTAAGTTTTAGAGTCACTAAGTCTACAAGTCTAAGTTACTAAGTTTACAAGTCACTAAGTCTACAGGTCAAAGTTACTAAGTCTAAGTCACTAAGTCTACAAGTCTAAGTTACTAAGTCTAAGTCACTAAGTCTACAAGTCTAAGTTACTAAGTTTACAAGTCACTAAGTCTACAAGTCTAAGTTACTAAGTTTACAAGTCACTAAGTCTACAGGTCAAAGTTACTAAGTCTAAGTTACTAAGTCTACAAGTCTAAGGTACTAAGTTTACAGGTCACTAAGTCTACAAGTCTAAGTTACTAAGTTTACAGGTCACTAAGTCTACAAGTCTAAGTTACTAAGTTTACAAGTCTAAGTTACTAAGTCTACAAGTACAAGCCAACAAGTCTAAGTCACTAAGTCTACAAGTCTAAGAGTATGTCTACAAGTCAAAGTTTTAAAGTCTACAAGTCTAAGTTACTAAGTCTACAAGTCAAAGTTACTAAGTTTACAAGTCACAGTCTACAAGTCAAAGGTACTAAGTCTGAGTCACTAAGTCTACAAGTCTAAGTTGCTAAGTCTAAGTGTATACTGTACCTCTACAAGTCACTAAGTCAACAAATCTAAGTCACTAAGTCTACAAGTCTAAGTCACTAATTCTACAAAATCTTAGTCTACAAGTCAGAAAGTCTACACGTCACAAACTCTACAATTCTAAGTCTACAAGTCTAAGTCCCTCCTCTGGATCTTGATGTTTTTGTTGTTGTTGGTTTGTCAAAGTTGCTAAGTCTAAGTGTAAACATTTACATGTTTAAGTTACCAAGTATACAAGTCTAATTTACTAAGGGTAAGATACAAAGTCTAAGACACTAAGTCTACAAGTCTGAGACTACAAGTCTAAGTCGCTAATTCTACAAAATCTTAAGTCTACAAGTCACTAAGTCTACAAGTGTAAATCCCTCTGCTGGATCTTGATGTTTTGTTGTTTGTTTTGTTCAGAGGATAATAAGCGTAAGTCTCAGGTGAAGCTGGGCTCTGCAGCTGATTTCTCTCTGGACATCATGGAGACTGACCTTAGTCTGCTCACCGCCAGCATTAAAGCCCCGTCTGGACGCGACGAGCCCTGCTTACTGAAGAGGCAGCCAAACAATCACATCGGTCAGTCTCTGAAGGAACTGTGGAAAATTTGTTAAATATCACTTGAGAAATATTTGAAAAAAGAATAAATTTTGCACAATAGGGCCAAATGTATATGAATAAATGTATAAATTTCTTTCTTTTGAGTTTGGTGTGAGTAACTCTGTTTGTCATGTCAGGAATCTCCTTCATACCAAGGGAAGTGGGTGAGCACCTGGTGAGCATTCGGAAGAACGGCCGGCACGTGCCCAACAGTCCCATCAGCATCACTGTGGTTCAGTCAGAGATCGGTGACGCTGGCCGGGTGAAGGTGTTCGGGACGGGCCTGCAGGAGGGACAAACCTTCCAGATGGCAGACTTCACTGTGGACACCAGAGAAGCTGGTCAGAGATGCTCAGCTTTCATGAGCTTCTTTCTCCCTTTTCTTTTCTTTTCTCTCTCTCTCTCTCTCTCTCTCTCTCTCTCTCTCTTCTTTCTTTCTTTCTTCCTTTTTTCATTCCTTTCTTTCTTTCTCTTTCTTTCTTTCTTTCTTTCCTTTTTCTTTCTTTTTTTGTTCCTTTCTTTCCTTTTTATTTGTTTCTTTCTTTTTTCTTTCTTTCCTTTCTTTCTTTCTTTCTTTTCTTTCTTTTGTCTTTCTTTCTTTCTTTCTTTCTTTCTTTCCTTTTTCTTTCTTTCTTTCTTTCTTTCCTTTTTCTTTCTTTTTTTGTTCCTTTCTTTCTTTCTTTCTTTCCTTTTTATTTCTTTCTTTCCTTTCTTTCTTTCTTTCTTTCTTTCTTTCTTTCTTTCTTTTTTCTTTCTTTTCTTTCTTTCTTTCTTTCTTTCCTTTTTCTTTCTTTCCTTTTTCTTTCTTACTTTCTTTCTCTTTTTTTGTTCCTTTTCCCTTTTTCTTTTTCTTTCCTTTCTTTCTTTCCGTTTCTTTCTTTCTTTCCCTTTTTCTTTCTTTCTTTCTTTCTTTCTTTCTTTCTTTCCTTTTTCTGTCTTTCTTTCTTTCTTTCTTTCTTTCCTTTTTCTTTCTTTCTTTCTTTCTTTCTTTCTTTCTTTCCTTTTTCTTTCTTTCCTCTTTCTTTCTTTCTTACTTTCTCTTTCTCTTTTTTTGTTTCTTTCTTTCTTTCTTTCTTTCTTTCTTTCTTTCTTTCTTTCCTTTTTCTTTCCTTTCTTTCTTTCTTTCTTTCCTTCCTTTTTCTTTCTTTCCTTTTTCTTTCTTTCTTTTAATTTGAGGAAAATATAAGATCTATTTAGTATATGAACAACTATTTTTAAATATACTTATTAAATAGTAATCATAAATATAGTAATATATATATAGAATGTTATTCTATTTAAATATTTTAAACTATTAATATAATCATTATCTTAAATGTTTTTCTTTATATACATTAAATTGTTGTTTTTGCTGCACAATTGTTTATTTAATAATAGTAATAACCCTATTTATTTATATATTCAATGGTGTTGGTAGTACTAGTAGAAGTTGTAAACATTATTTTTTATTTATTTATCACTGTATTATAATAAAAACGTACTATTAGCATAAATTAATACACATTTTCATTTATTGATAATTCTTTATATGTGTATATATTTATACAATGTAAATATTTTTATATAATAACTGTTTATAGCATCATCATTCATGTTTTTGTATCATGTAATTATTGTTTTTGCTAATAATCATTTTCAATCATTTTGAATCATTCTTTTTGACAAAATTTATTATTTAATAAGTTATTTAGTAGGTTTTTTTATTAATTTTTACTGGGGTTCATATTTTATATCTGTGTTTAATCACCTGTTGTTAGATTGCCTTTTTTGCTTCATCTTTTACTGTTAAGTTTCTTTGGCTCCATATTGATTATAGACTGGGCTGTTTTCACCTGGTTAACCAACTAACTAATCAGAACAACAGAAGCTGAACAACAACTCTTTTCCCACAACCAGATGAAGCAAAAGTTTCCCACAATTCCGAGGCTTCAGGCATGAGATGAAGCCGTTTCTCTTCATTCCTCTGTCGTGATTCAAGCTGTTTGTTCATATTGAAGGACCTGAGATTATAAACACATTACAGCATGTAGAGGCTTCCTCTTAAAGGGACAGCGCGCATAAAAACCAATACTCTGCCATCATTCACTCGCTTTTTTTTTTGTTTGTTTCTTCGGTTTATCACAAACAAAGATATTTGGGAGAATATTGACTTCCGAAGTCAATGCAAGCTCCTTTCTCTTGTAGAAAAAATATTTTAGCAAATACTGTGAAAATTGCCATTTTAATATCTCTTAAAATATTTTTAAAAGAATAAATATTTCACAGAAGGGCTAATAACTTTCCCTTTCAACTGTGTGTGCGTGTGTGCACGTATATTGCATTATTGAATATCGGCGTGTCTCCTGTGTTGCCAGGCTATGGTGGTCTGGCGTTGTCCATCGAGGGTCCCAGCAAAGTGGACATCCAGACAGAAGACATGGAGGACGGCACATGTGGAGTCTCATACTGTCCCACTGAACCGGGAACCTACATTGTGTCCATCAGATTTGCAGAAGAGCACGTCCCAGGTCAGAGATTATACTTATCACACAGTTATTGTACATTCTGCTAGTATGTACTTGTAAATTATTATAGTACGTCGTATAGTATAGTATCAGAGCAAAACTACTATGTTAAACAATACAAATCTGTTAAACATCACTTGGGAAATATTGGTAAATAAATAAAAATATTTGGAGGAGGGCTAATAATTTTATCTCAACTGTATATATTTTTTCATAATAAAGATACTTTTAACAATGATCTGATTATAAACACTCACCGGCCACTTTATTAGGTACATCTGTCCAACTGCTCGTTAACGCAAATTTCTAATCAGCCAATCACATGGCAGCAACTCAATGCTTTTAGGTATGTAGACAAGACGATCTGCTGCAGTTCAAAGTAGTGATCTGCACGGGACTAAATTTTGAATCCCGCTCCCGCCCGCACCCGCCAGGTTTTAGCCGGAACCTGACCGATCCCGCTTATATTAAGCACTTGATGTCCCGCTGCCCGCCCCGCCCCGTTTTCTATCCGCCGCGCCCGATCCCGCTAAAGAGCGGGGGTAGAACAAAATCGAAAATCACCCAGTTATACAGTCCAGACAGCCTATAACAAGCTGTCTGTATAAACACACACACGCACAGCACCAAGCACACACACACAGACAAAGCTTTCTCTTTCATTCGCGCACGCGCGCCCTCTAACACACACTCATAAGCACCAAGCACAAACACAGGCAAAGCTCTATCTCTCTCACACACACACACACACACACTCACACCCACCCACCCACCCACCTCTCATTCGCGCGTGCGCATACACACACACACACACACACACACACACACACACACACACACACACACACACACACACTGCAACAAACATGCTAAACACAGCATCGCGCTATTTCATTTACACACATACATACGCGTGCTCACTTGGGAGTCGGGAGCAATATTGCTAGACAGCCCGCTCCCGTCCCAAATTAAACCCGTTACCGACCGCTCCCGTGATTTACATCGGAAATTTATACCCGCGCCGTAGAAATCTGGTCGGGTCCCGCGGCGCCCGCGGGAATGCAGACCTCTAGTTCAAAGTTAGCATCAGAATGGGGAAGAAAGGTGATTTAAGGGACTTTGAACATGGCATGGTTGCTGGTGCTATACGAGCTGGTCTGAGTGAGAATTTCAGAAACTTCTGATCTACTAGGATTTTCACGCACAGCCATCTCTAGGGTTTACAGAAAATCTGCGGCAACTGCGTGATGCTATCATGTCAATATGGTGCAAAATCTCTGAGGAATATTTCCAGTACCTTGTTGAATCTATGCCACGAAGGATTCGGGCAGTTCCGAAGGCAAAAGTGGGTCCAACCCAGTAGTAGTAAGGTGTACCTAATAAAGTGGCCATCGAGTGCACATATAAATAAAATATTAAAGCTGTATTACAATTTTTGTTTTGATGCTTTAAACTCCCTTTTCGTCTTTGACCCTCGTTAGGTACTATTACTTTCACATTGCATTGATTAGTTAAAAAGGGCTTTTTCTACAGTTATAATACATTTCCATTTTATTTAAATGCCTCCTATTGAACTACCTATTCTTCAATTCATTAAAACATTTGTTAGCTGCTGTGTCAGTGCAAGGATTTAATTGTTTGTGTTTGTGTTTTTAGGTAGTCCGTTCAGTGTAAAGGTGACTGGAGAAGGTCGAATCCGCGAGAGCATCAGTCGACGTCAGAAAGCAGCTTCAGTTTCCAGTGTTGGAAGTGTTTGTGATCTCAACCTCAAGATCCCAGGTAAAACTACTCTCATGTTTACATGGGGGATTCTTAAAAACTACTAAATGCTGATCAATCGCTTTAGAGAAATTTAAAGTCCGCGTTAACCGGAAGCTGTGTTTTTTATTGTTGTTGTTCACTTGTTGTGATGCAGTTTCTAGAGAAGTGGGTTTTTAGATAATAAAGCAATGGGCGTGGCTTGTTTTGTTTACTGCGAGCTGATTTGATGTAGTAAAGTAGGCATTTCATTCAGGAAGATGGGGAAAAGGGTTTGGGGAGAGTTATTACAACCTAACGTTCTTCTCCTCCTGCTCACCATTTGTGTTTGTTGTCAAAACTGACAGCTGGAGGGGCGTGGTTAAGTATGTTAGCCACGCCCAATACCTCAGGCTGACCTAATCTGAGGATTTAACTAAGAATTGAACTTTTTCAGATTTCAATGAAAGATTACAAAGGCTAGGTTTGTTTTTCTTAATGACATGCACAGATGAATTGTTCATTACAAAACTAGCAATGTGAGCTAACGATATCAATATGGTTAGGTTTGATTTATTTTAATTGTTTTAGGTTTTTACAGACAGGTTTTTTATATGATTTATTAAGTATTAAAATACAGCAAACAGAATTGAATAAATTTGAATAAAACGTTGTATATAATTAGGCAACTAGTTTTTGAATTTGTCTTTTTGTAAAAAAATAAAAATAAAAAAGGTGGGGGGGGGGGGGTAGCTGGTCTCTACACACCTCCACCGGTGTGCAGCATCCACTTGGATGATGTGACGGCAGCCACAGGACAACAGCGCCAGTGCGCTCACCACACACCAGCTATAGTGGAGACAGTGATAGAGCCAATTCAGTGGATGAGGATGATTGGGAGGCCATGATGGGCAAGGGCTGATGGAGAGAATTTGGCCAGGACACCAGGGTTACACCCCTACTCTTTCCGAGAAGTGCCATGGGATTTTTAATGACACAGAGCGTCAGGACTTCGGTTAAACGTGTCATCTGAAAGACGGCGCCCACTGACAGTGAACTTTCCCCTTCACTATACTGGGGCATTAAGACTCACACAGACCAAAGGTTAAGCGCCCCCTGCTGGCCTCTCTAACACCACTTCCAACAGCAACCTAGTTTCCCCATGTGGTCTCCCATCCAGGTACCAACCAGGCTCAGCCCTGCTTATCTTCAGTGAGTAACCGGTCTTGGGCTGCAGGGTGATATGGATGTGGAAATACATGATTAAAAGCTCTTGAAGTGGAGATTTGCAGCTCATTGCATTAAAAATAGTTCATTTAGAGAAAACTGCTTTAAATATATGTGTATTATAATTAAAAACTACAGACACAAAATGATTTAAGTATATTATGGATGTTTTCTTTCCCTTTAGACTGGAAAAAATAAGATCCAGACAGCTCAAACTTGCGTTTTTGTCTCTAGTATCTCTCTTTAATCTACATGAAGTGTGAATTATTGAGCATTTCAGCCTCTATATGTCAAGCTGTGGATTAATTCACTGTAGCTCAGTCTTCAATATGAACTCCAGCCAAAACAGCACTGAACAAATGTCCGTGTGGCTGATTTCTGGCTCATGTCAAGCGTTAAAGACTCTCCATACTGTACTTGAGTGAAAACACATGGCTCTCCGAAATGACTTGAGTCTTGATTTCCCATCAGGCCGTGCAGATGTTTCTGTTAGCATTGCGCCGCGTGTCTGCACTACGTGCTGCATGATGCTAACACATGTCTGGAGGAAACGCACTCTCATTCATGTCATGTTTGCTCATGCTGCACTTCCAGTCAGGATCTGGCTGAGTCTGAAGTGTGTGTGAGGGAGGTTTTGTGCTCATTATGTTTGAGCTGTAACGCTAACAAACACAAATGGTGTTTGGAATAAATACACTTGCCATTTTGTAGAGGAAGTTGGGTAGATTCAAAAGGGTAGTTTTTATTTTTGACACAAATGTGTGTGCTGTAATTATTATAGCATAAACAAAGCACAAGAGGATACTACATGAAAGTCAGATGAAGAACTTTTATATTGTTTAACATTTTGGCACATGATGCATTTAACATTTATAGATTATTAAGTAATAGTAGTAGCCTGTTAAGGAGTAATGCTGTGTTCACACCAGACGCGGAACGTGCGGATAAATCGCGCTATTCGCGCGTAAATTGCCGCGTGAACATTTGAGTTTACTCGCTTCATTCGCGCGTCAAACCCCGCATAATTTGCGCGTCAAATCCGCTTCATTCGCGTGTCAAATTTACTTCAGAACAGACGTGGATTCGGGTGATGGGCTGGACTTCTGTCTTCCCGGTGACTGTAGCTTCGTTGCTAAAAGGCTAACATGGATTTTATGAAGAAAATAGAAGTGTTTATGTACTTTATGAAGGCTGAAAAACAGCGTCGATACGTTTAGGACCGTGTCTGAGTCCACTACATGCTTTCAGAGCTGCATCCAGCTCTGTGAGCTCATAAACTCCTCCAGAAACTGATCGTGGATCACGGAGGCTTTCAACGGTGCTTCTGACTGAGCCAAGCCCAGTTTGATGACTTGTTGTCGGTGTCGCCTGGAGGATTTCCCCCAGGGCACCATCAACTGGTTCTACGTCACAATCACGCCCCCACAAGAGCAAGCTTCTGATTGGTTAACGCGGCGCGAATGTCCGCTGAAGTTCAGATTTTTGAACTCGAGAGATTCGTGTGAAACGCTTGTTAAGTGCGTCAAACGCTCAATTCACTTTGCACTATGCACACCGCGCCATTTGCGTCATTCGCACTGCGCCATTCGCGCGTATCGCGCCGCAGGATGTCTATTCGCGCGTTTGCATTGACTTAACATGTAAATCACTTGCGTGCGTTCCGCGTCTAGTGTGAACGCAGCATTACAGTGGGGAAAGTAAGTATTGAACATGTCACCATTTCTCTAGGAAAACATTTCTAAAGGTGCCGTTTTCTTGAATTTTTCCCCTGACGTTGACAACAACAAAAGAAATTCATATATGTAAAGAAAACAAATCTAATTCGTTTACAAATGAAGTACCTGATGATGCAGGTAAAAGTATTGAACAAAAGAAGAAAGGGAGGTGTAGTTCAGCAGTGAAAGCCCAGACAGCAGCTGAAGTCTCTCAGTAGTTCTTCAGCAACCCTCTGCTCTTCCTCAGTGTAAATGAATATCAGCTGCTTCAGTCCAACATCTACATTAGCAAGAGGATGAAGATGAAACCAGTGTGGACATTTCAGCAAGAGAATTAGAAACAGCCGAGGAAACTCTCAGATACTTTCAGAGAAAGAAAATCAAGCTGTAGAATGGCCTACTCAATCACCTGATGTGAATCCAATAGAGAATACAGAATAAAGCTCAGATTTGATAGACGAGAACCACAAAAGCATCAAGATTGTGACACTCTGTTGACATCTGTGAGAAACTCACACCTGAGCAATGCATGAGGCTTCATTCTCCATATGAGAGACGTCTTTAAGCTGCAGCAACAGAAAAGCCTTTAAATGTCCACGAGCCGGGATTCGAACTCTGGACACCCTGAAGTGCTATTGCATTATATGTCAGTTGGCTAACAACTGGGACATTGCGCCGACCAACTTTTTACTGATTTAAATAATATTCGCAATAACAATTCTTTTTCTTCCACTTAGTTTGGCAACACAACATGGCGTCTTTTTTCCGTCTGAACACTGTAACAGGTAAAACAGTCTTCGGAGCTATCATGCATATTAATGAAGTTGCATCTCATACACAACAGAGCGCGCTGATTGGTTTGAACCAAGTCTTTCTCATGAATTAATGCAGCACACTCAGAGACGTCACGATGCACTCGCAGGTACAGACATCCAGTCTACATGCTGAAATACACACAAGGATCTAATCGGCGTGACGCAGCTTCAAAAATTTCAAACCGGAAGAACGAATTTGCTCAAAACAACACAAAAACAACCAATTTTTAATGAACTATATGTGTCCTAGTAGTGTTTTTAGCAGAGTGAGACACTTATATGACTCTTATATGGCACTTTTTAAATAAATTGTTCACTTCCAGTCCTTATGAAATATTGTATCCCCAATTACAGTGATTAAACGGCAAATTAGAAGTTGTTATTAAGATTAATGTGATCTGGAATCAGTATAAAGTGAAAATGATGGCAGAATACATAAAAAGAATATGATGACAATATTGAGTGTGTGGTAATAATTATTGATCAGCTTATGAATGAGCTTTGCTGGTCTTCTGATGCTCTGAATCTGCTGATGTTTCCTCTGTTCTTCACTCTGCTGTGTTTCTCTGTCCTGGCTGCAACTCCTCACCTGATCCTCTTTCTCCTCTTCTATTTCTCCCGTTTTCTGCGTGTGTGTGCGCGTGTGCGTATGTGTGCGCGTGTGTGTGTGCGCATGTGTGTGTATGTTTGTGTCCGTATGTGACTGTGTGTTTGCTCATATTTATATGTGTGGCTGGCTGTGTGTGTGTGTGTGTGTGTGTGCGCATGTTTGTGTCTCTATGCATGGATGTGTATGTGTTTGTTTGTGTCTATGACTGTGTTTGTGTGTGTGTCTGCTCGCATGTCTACATGTGTGTTATTGTTTGTGTGGGTCTATGTATGTTTGTTTTTGTGTGTGTGTCTCTGCATTGTTGTGTGTGCATGTGCATTTGTTTTTGTGTGTGGGTGTGTATCTTTATGTGTGGGTGTGTGTCTGTCTATGCATGGCTGTGTGTGTGTATGTGCGTCTGTGTTTGTCTGCATGTTTGTGCGTGTGCGTCGTCCCGTCTGTCTGTGTGTCCTTTATGTATGTGGATGACTGTGTGTGTGTGTGTGTGTGTGTGTGTGTGTGCGTGCGCATATCCTTCTATTGTCTGTGTCCGTCTGTGTATCTGCATGTATGTATGTGTGTGTCAGTGAGCTGGTTTCTCCTGGCTCTCTCTCGCGAGTTGTTGTCTGGGTCAGTGTTTCGCTCCGTCTGCTCTGTGCATCTGCGGGTCGGAGGTCAAACTCGCTTCACAGTGACCCATCAGCGGGTCAGCAGCAGCAGGAAAGGTGCGCGGCCTGTCAGGAGGCCCTGCGGAGGCCTGGACGGTGCGTTATGAGCTGCGCATGTGGACCCCGAGGTTGGCAGAACGCGCTTGATCTTCACACACACACTGCTGTTTGTGTTTGCAGCCCTCACCACAGCTGTAGTTCATTCATCCTCATGACTGCACAAAACTACAATGATGTCATTTCCTGCATGGAAAGTAAACGGATGTTTCCAATGATGTTCACCATGAGGATGGATATTTGTATATTTTATTTTATAAGTATAATTAAGAACTATAATGAAGAATGTGCATGGGTATTTCTTTGGTATTGTTTAATATTTTTAATTGTATTTTTTATTTACATGAAAATCGAGCAGAACTTTGCTTTCCCCTTTCATTTTATTTCCGTTAGATGTACAGTTAGGTCAATAAATGTTGGGATATCGACACAATTCTAACATTTTTGGCTGTATACACCAACACAATGGATTTAGAATAAAATTAACTGCAGACTGTGAGCTTTAATTTGAGGGTATTTACATCCAAATCAGGTCAACGGTGTAGTAATTACAGCAGTTTTCATATGTGCTTCCCACTTGTTAAGGGACCATAAGTAATTGGACAGTTGGCTTCTAAGCTGTTCCATGGCAGGTGTGTGCTATTCCCTCATTATCCCAATTACAATGAGCAGATAAAAGGTCCAGAGTTCATTTCAAGTCTGCTATTTGCATTTGGAATCGGTTTCTGTCAACTCTCAAGATGAGATCCAAAGAGCTATCAGTCAAGCAAGCCATCATTAGTGAACTGAATGAACTGAATTTAGAAATAGTTTTGAAACAAATGTTTGCGCTCAACAAACGAAATTAATTATGTATATACAGTGTTGGGCAAGCTACTTGACAAATGTAGTGAGCTAAGCTATTAGCTACTCTACTTAAAATGTAGCTTAACTACACTGAAAGCTACCCCCTGGGAAATGTAGCAAGCTAAGCTTAAAGCTACATGGCAAAAGTAGCTTAGCTACATTCAAGCTATTTTTACAATTTTCATTTTGAAATCGAAGCAAGTTAAATCCAAGTCAATCACATCTTAGTGATCAATAAAACTGTTAATGAAACAAATGAGGCAGAATAGTTCAGTTCAATTATTTACTGTAAATAATATGCTGAACTAAACAGAAACGCATAATAGTATATAACAGCTAAAACAAAAAATTCAATAAAAGCAGCTGTTACACAATTAAAATACTATAGTCATTTATAGTAAAGGGAAATATTTTTGATAATAAATAAATATATAAATATATATATATATATATATATATATATATATATATATATATATATATATATATATATATATATATATATATATATATATATATATATATATATATATATATATATATATATATATATATATATATATATATATATATATATATATATATATATATATCTATATATATATATATATA